TACAAGAATCAACCAATAGCCCTAGCTGGTTTGGCTCAGTGGATACAGTGTCCGCCTGCAGACTAAAGGGTCCCATGTTTGATTTCAGTCAAGGGCACATGCCCAGGTTGTGGGCTCAATCCCCAGTGGGGGGCGTGTAGGAGGCAGCCGATCAATGATTCTCATCATTGATATTTCTATCTCTCTCTCCCGTCCTCTCTGAAATCAATAAAAATATATTTTAAAAAAACACAAAAGAATCACTATTTTTTTTTAAAAAAGTATCAACCAATGAATAAGTGGAACAATAAATTGATATTTCTCTCTAAAAAAATCAATAAAATAAAATTTAAAAACCTCAAAATGGCAAAACTTATAGAGACTTTTAATATTCCTTGGCATAAGGCTCTTCCCTTGATATTGCTCAATCTAAGATCTACTCCCTTCAGCAAACATAGGCTGTCTCCTTTTGAAATTATTATTGGTAACCCACAAAATTAGGTCAATGAATTTATGCACCAGCATTGCCAAAAGGAGACCTGCTCTACTGTAGGAACTTATAGGGGCTTTTAAGAATAACAACTCAGAGCAAAATTTCCATAGTGTGCTCCCAGGAGATCTACAACATCATTATCTCCAACTCAGAGATTATGTCTATTGGAAATGCCATCTCCAAAAATATGCCCTCACACCCAGTGGAAAGGAGCATATGAGGTTAGTAATACTGAACTTAAGGGTATTGACTCATGGATTCATATTTCTCATTTAAAAAGGACATCCACACCTGAGTGGGCCTCTCAGCCTATTGGAGATCTTAAGCTGAAAATTCTTAAATAATCCAAAACCACAACTGGAATTTTCCTTCTGAATTGAAACAGATATAAACAGCTCTCCCAAGACCCTGGACCAGGCCTTGAAAGCTTACAAAATCTAACTGGACATATGGATCATTTAACCTTCCTGTAGCCAAATCTATCTGTAAGGTCTTCCCTACCTACAAGGGAATACCCATAAATACAATCTGCACTTATAACTTGTCTAACTATTTTGAAAATATAAATGGTTCAGGCAGAATACTGGGTTTGTCCCTTTTAAAATGTAAAACTTGTCTTTTGCATGATTCAGATGACCATGAGTTCACACCTTGATGAGGCTTAAGTGACTACAATGTTACTTCTTACAATGTCTCTAATATGGGGAAATTCAGGAAATAACACCACTCAATCCTGAAAATCATATATCTTCTCACTCTTGGGGACAAGATAAAAAAATCTGGTATTTGGTGGAAAATAACTAGGAACAACCAAATCCATGATAATCTTTCAATTCTGACACAAATATGTAGAAACTTCAGTTGCTCTTTTAATTTTATGTATGATGACTTTAATGTCTACTGCATTAATGACTATTATGATTATCTAACATACAAAGGATATGCAGTCCCTGTCTCAAAAATAGAACTTAATTCTCCCCTCAGAGTCTGGGTTGAAGGGCCTATTTATATGCTCTTGCTTGAGGGCACTGGATGTTTCTTATGTGGGACCCAATATATGTCACCTTGCCAACCCAATGGTGAAGTGGATATGATATTGTTATGTTAGTACCTGATGCTGTCACCAGGAAGATGCTGTCTTCATTTTTCTGCCATTATCCCCAATCTAGGCTCTTTTGTCTATAAACTTTGACCAAAACAAACCAAATGGAACTGGGATTTGATGTCCTCTCTCCCCGTGAAACCCCATAATAGATAAGTGAGGCTTTGGGCATTCCTGTGCTAAAGCTTTCTTTCCTTAGTTTGGAGTAACTGAGAAGCCTATAATAAATTTTTATATTTTTGTAGCACACTACTGTAATTGCCCTTGAAAAACAACAAGAAATGATTAACAGTCTGGCAGAGGTAGTACTACAAAACCAGGCCCCTAGATGTCTTAGCTGCCCCACAAGGTGGTACTTGTGGGCTATTGGGAGAATGTTGTTTCTATGTCAGCAAATCAGGTGAAGTGATACAACAGCTTGAGGTTCTGAAAAAATACGTAAAATCCTCAAATAGGCAGAACATAACCCTATAAACGATTGGACAGACTTATCTAGCTGGCCTGCAGGAAGAGGAGCCTGGGTTTGTTCTATATTCCAGGCCTTGACCATATTGGTTTTTGTGATTATACTGTTCACTACCTTAATTAGGTGTCTTATTAGGTGCCTTGAACAATGACTAACAGCCACTACCAGAATAATAGTAGCCCAATGCCCAGAGATGTTACAACAAATAAATCCTGACTAAGACCACCTCTACAAAGAACTTTTAATCTGAAGAATATGTGACTTAGTTCAGTTTCCAGTAAGCCTCCTTGTTGCTCACATGTGGCCATAAACTCTCCTATTGTACACTCAGGAAACTACTTTTTATACTACATGGGACATGACATACCAGGAATGAGCCTTCCTGGTGGATGGGATCCATGTTGCTTTTTCAATGATGGACCAGGGATGCTTCCTAATGATTGATCATTGATGTTTTATAAGGAAAAATCTCGATCTAAAAGGGGGAACTGTGAAAGAAAAACAGCAAAATGGAGTTGATATTGTCAAGAGAGCCATCTAAAATGGAGCTGGAAAAAACCACAAATGGAACTGGTTCTGCATCACTGAACTCTCCATTAAGAAAAAATTTTTTCACCTAGCAATAGACAAGGCAACAATCATGTGTAGATGGCACAGTGTAAGTCTGCTTAACAGCACCAATCACAGCCTTTTCTTTTTTTTAAAAAAAAAATATATATTTTATTGATTTTTTACAGAGAAGGGAGAGGGATAGAGAGTTAGAAACATCGATCAGCTGCCTCCTGCACACCCCCTACTGGGGATGTGCCCCGCAACTAAGGTACATGCCCTTGACCGGAATCGAACCTGAGACCCTTCAGTCCGCAGGCCAACGCTCTATCCACTGAGCCAAACCGGTTAGGGCGATCACAGCCTTTTAAAACAACTGTGTCACCCCTTTGGCAGCGCCACTCTTTCTGTCTTCATAAACTTTCTTCCCCTCAGAACACAGTTGGGTTTCTACCCAAATTTGTAGTACCAGAATTGCAATTCCTAAGGACGCCAAATAAAACTTCCTTGCTTTGCAGTTCTTGGTCAAATCACTAAAGTTAGAAACCAAGAAGAAAAAGATTGATGTATTTGATTACATCAAAATATGATCTTTATGACAAAAAGAAAAAAAAAGCAAAGTCACATAACTAGGAAAAATATTTGCAATATGTATGAAATTCTATGATTTTTTAAATCTTAATATAAAGAATCCCCACAAACCGACAAGAAAAATCAAAACAAATACTAAAATAGAAGAACCATAAAATACTCAAAGGAAAAAAATATAAATCACCAATAACAAATAAAAGGATATTTAACCTCATTAGAAATAAAAGTTACAGTTTGTCTTTCAGTTTGGCAGAAACTTAAAAGAATAGTAATACCCAGTGTTGGCAATAGTGTGGGGAACTGTCACTTTTATCTTCTGCTGATGAGAGTGGAAATGATAAAAGCCTTTTAGGAGGACAGTTTAGCACTATCAAAAGTCCTAAAATTTTGCTTACCATTGACACAACAATTTTATTTCTGGTATGTTTTTAATCTGAGATATAATTGATATATAATGTCGTGTAAACTTAAAGTGTGAATCACGTGCTGATTTGATACACTTATTTATTGCAAAATGAGGTCCACAATAGGGCTAGTTAGCATCTCCATCACCTCACATAATTAACATTTGCCTCTGGTATTAATCTCAAGGAAATAATAATCAGGAAAGCATACAAGTATGCTCATCATAACCTAAAAAGTCAACAGTTATATACAGCATATATAAACAACGTAACTTTATTTAGGCTAAATCAGCCTAAATGTTCAACTTAGCGTTTTGCCATATAAAATGCATTTAATGAGTTATGGAATAGTACGCAACCACAATTATTTTTGTAAAAAGTGCTCATAAGTATATATGATCTGATCTCATTTTTCCTCAAAGGCTTTTTTTTTTTACTCAAGAAACATCAAAACTAATCTTAAGTTTTTCTTTGGGTATTGGTACTATGGGTAACTCTAGTTGTAGTGGTTAGAAGCATAGCCTTTGGAATTAGGAAGAACTGGTTTCCAGACCTAGCTGGGCTCCTTTTTTGGTTGTGTAGTTTGTGCTGCTCTTTAAGCTCTGGATGCCTGAATTCCCTCATTAATAAAAGGACAACGACCAGTCTCTCAAGGGTGTGTGTATATGTACGTGTGAGAGAGAGAGAACAAGAGACAGAATATTAAGTGACAATGTATACAGCACACTTAGTACCCTTCCTGGTAAGTGTCCAATAAATAGAAATACTTATTCTTATAATTTGTATAATTTTTCTAAATTGTCTGAATGTTTCACAATAATAACACATTACTTTTATATTCAGAAAAGTAAAGCCATTTCTATTTTGGAATAAAGAAAAGAAAAATATTTCCAGAGAGAGAGCTCAGAATGCTTTGAAATGGATCTGCTATTTGTTGCCCTCAAGTGAATATTCATTAATACTGGGTTTGTTTGTACTAGGTCCCAAAAATAAGAATGAAGGAGGTAAATGTTCCAGATAAGCAGTATTAGTACTCTATAAGCATTTGGTATGTGAGAGACGCATAGCTAGAATGTCTAATAACAGGCAGGAACTACTGGAAGAGAAGAAGCATCTCCACCATGCGGATTCTGCTTCTCAAGTCTAGTGGGACTTTGTACCCACCCCTGTATTCTCAGCAGTACTTTTTGTTCCTATGAAGACATTAGAAGCACTAGAAGGTGTGCCTCCAGTGGGAAATAGGCTTGTTTTTTTTCCCCTGCTTTATGTATTTATCTCCACACAGATATGTTCTATATTCCTTGCTGTATTTTCCATCCTCCAGTTGTCTGTTATGACCCCCAAAACACTGAATATGGAATAGACATTTATATTTATAGGAAAAATTTGTTTTTCAAAATCATGTATTTGTTCCAGATTTTACATCCTGAAGTCCAGACTCTAGATCTACAGAGCTGTGATATTTCAGATACTGCTCTGCTGCACCTGGGCAACTGCAGAAAACTGAAGAAATTAAATTTAAATTCCTCAAAAGAAAACAGAGTTTCTATAACTACAAAAGGTATGTTTATTAACATTGAATGAATTGGTAGATTACTATTCACCATCTGGTATAATTTAGGAACAAAAAGGGGAAATATGTCAAAAGAAAGTATGAAGATGTCAAAGAAATAGGAACTATGTTTATGAACAAAAAATATTCAAACTAAGATAAAGAATCCAAATTAGAATTCTTGTTTATAAGCAGTGCTGAAAGATAAGAAACACACCGGGCAAGTCACTATTTTAGACATTTTAAAATAAACATGGGTGGATACCTCTATATTTTAAATATTTTGCCTGATACAGTGGAAGAAGAAATGACTAGTTCATACTTTGTTAAGGCTTTTTGGATGCAATATTACAACAGAAAGCTAAATTATCAGATTAAACTTACCAGGCAACTCTCCTATCAGTGTGTACAATGCATAGTTTTTAAATATAGCCAGACAATTGCATTTTTCAGTGTCATTATTACGTGAATTAGTGGATTTTGTTTTTGTTTTTAAAGATATTGACTTCAGAGATGAATTAGTGGATTTTTATAATTTTTTTTTCAAAATAGGATTTTTTACCTTTTTCTTTCCTATAAGAAAGAGGGACTTATTTGGCTGTTTCTGGAAAATTCTGTGGGTTGTTGACTATAGTTTTCAATCATCTCAGTTAGCAAGTTAGGATTATCACAATATTGCAAAGAAGCATAAGTTTTAAATGTTTGTACAAATAATGACTCATTAAAAATAACTTTCATTCTGTACAATGATGAATAAAAGAAAAGTTCTTTCTTAAGATATGAAAACAATAAAGATGACCTACATACACATTTACCATCTTCTATTTTGTGTATTTTGCCCATAAAGGTATCTTTTCACAGTGGACTGAAGGGCCCAGAATCCTGAAGTACTCTTTTATTTATGTGGCACATTATCACGTACCAGTCTCCAGTGTGCATTTGCATCAGTTTATTAGTAAGATTGCTCCAGGCTAACAGAGAAGGAGCGTGGTGGTAGAAAAGGGCAGAGTCAAAGAGGGGAGAGGGAATACATAGATAGGTATGATTCCTAAGGATAAGCATGGAAACATTACTCAAGACATTTGGGCAATTTAACTTTGATTTTTCTTTAGAGGCCACAAGAAAATTGACTTTATTACTTTAAAACTTTTGTTTTAACAAAAAGGAGAATCATGTACTATTTAATTACTTAATATGGTTCTGAATGACTTGGCTATTTCCTAAAAGCAAATCTGCTCTCTAGGCATAAACAATAAAAGCTGACCATTAATGGCAGATATTCTGAAGAATATACTACAGGCTGTGTAGAGAATTCCTGAAACAGTCCAGAGACTTTTAAATAATGGCATCGTCACTGATAGATAAGTATATCCTCACAGATTAACTATTTTGAAAGGGCTGTCATATAAGTAGATATATCAGTACTAGTGTTCAGTTAAATGAAAATTAGTCATATTTCTCATCTATAGACATTTATAGCTCATTGATACGTAATTGTGTTTCCCCCCAGGAATAAAAGCTGTGGCTTCATCTTGTGCATACCTGCACGAAGCTTCTTTGAAAAGATGCTGCAGTCTCACTGATGAAGGAGTCCTTGCTCTTGCGCGTAATTGCCGGCTGCTAAAGGTCATTGATTTAGGTGGCTGCTTAGGTATTACTGACGTGTCCTTACACGCATTAGGAGAAAACTGCTTTTTTCTGCAGTCTGTTGATTTTTCAGCTACTCAGGTAAATGAAATATAGACTTGAAATATAGAGGTTGTATGGGGTTTTCCAATGTCTTTTCAGTGACTCATTAGAAGAATGTAATTATTTTTATTGAAATTGTTGACTATTTCATGCTTTGGTGGTTAAATAATTGCAGTATAATTTGGCACATTCTGCTCAGTTATTTTAAGTAAGGGTGGGAGGTATGTGTAGCTAAAACACATATTTGCTGAATGGGAGGCAATAAAGTTATATCTAAATGATTAACAATTTTTAGAAAAGTTTAGGTCCGTCCCATTTATGTGCTGTGTTGCTTTTTCCCTTTGCTTAGGTATCTGACAATGGTGTGGTTGCGCTTGTTAGTGGACCTTGTGCCAAGAAATTAGAGGTAATGTAAAAATATCTATAAAGATGATGCTAATAAAAGTTTTATATTACCCTCAGAAATTATTTTTTAAACCTAGCAGACAACCATTTTCAATTATGTATTTCCATGAATTTTTGGGATCTCTAACTCTTTCTTCCCAGAGTAAAGAAAAATTGGTAAAGTAGGAGATAAAGTGTATTTTAAAATAAAAACCTATTGCCTTGGCCAGTGTGGTTCAGTTGGTTAGGGGTTGTCCCATACACCAAAAGATTGCTGGTTCAATTCCCAGTCAGGGAACATGCCCAGGTTGTGGGTTGAATCTCTAGTAAGGGACATGCAGGAGGCAGCCGTCAATGCACATTATACTCTCACATTGATGTTTCTCTCTATCTCCCTCCCTCTTCCTCCCTGTCTCTCTAAAAAAAGTCAATAAAAAAACAAGCAAACACCCATTTTACTTCTGATGAAACTTCTTACTTTCCAGAAGTTTTAGCTTCTAACATATTTAAGGATAGTCTTATTTTGATGAAGACTGAAAATTTATCAATATAAACTTAGTCTTTAGAATTTTGATGTCCAACTGACATTTCCACCAAGACTACTTATTCTCTTGCCATCATATTTTTCTGGATCTTTGAAGGGATCCATAAAGGCCACCACTATGGCATAAAATTGTGTTTAGCTGAAGATTTTTGAGAACCGACCAATGCAAAAAAAGAAAAAAGAAAAGCTTTGAACTACCACCCTCATTCCATCTGCCTGAAAGCAGAGCTTCTAAAAGGATTCACTTGCCATCAAACCCCCTCCAAGGAAGACTTCCCATACTGCAGAGGCCACTCCTATCACGGAGAAGTCAGATGAGAAATTGCATAAACAAAAATGGTCACAAGACTATCATACCTCTTGTTTTTCTCGAAGGGTCCTTTCTTTCTCCCCCCAACCATGCCCTTCCCTTATTAAGATGGTATAAACTCTAAATTCTAGCCTTTTTTTTTTTTTTTTTGAGGCATAGGCATGAGCATGCATGTGAATAAACTTTGTCTTTTTTTCTCTCTTGCTAATCTGTGTTTTGTCAGTTTAATTTTCAGGCCTCCACAAACAGAATGTCAGAGGAACAAAGAAAAGCTTTCCCCTTCCCAGTAACCACATTGTACAGCCATTTAAAAAGATCTTGGATTAGTGTTCAGTCTTTGGATTCAATGACCTGTTTCTAAATATATTTAGAAGCCTTTTGTCCTAGGATTTGGGGTTCTTCTTTCCCAGTTTATAGTGTTTTTAAATTTTTATTTTTTATGTTAAATATATTTTTATTGATTTCAGAGAGGAGAGGGAGAGAGAGATAGAAACATCAATGATGAGAGAGAATCATCAATCGTTTGCCTCTTGCTTGCTCCCTACTGGGGATAGAGCCTGCAACCAAGGCATGTGCCCTGTCCAGGAATTGAATTGTGACCTCCTGGTTCATAGGTCAATGCTCAACCACTGAGCCACACTGGCTGGGTGCCTTCAGTTCTTTAAAAAAATTACATGTAACATCTAAATTTCCTCCCTCATTTCTTTCCGCTTTCTTCCTTCAGAGGTAACCAGTATTCTGAAGATTCCTATGTATCTTTCCTTGTGTATTTGGGTACTTTATCTTTCTCTCTCTGTAATATTGTTTTAAAATTTTACATGGTAGTTTCCTAATGTATGTGCTCTTTTAACAGTTTGCTTTTCTACTCAAATTTACTTTTTAAAGTTTTCAGGTTTTATTGAGGTATAATTTACACACAATAAAATTCACCCATTTTAAGTATACAGTGTGATGAATTTTGGTAATTGTTATACATCCCTGTAACCACCACCATAATTAAGATTAGAACATTTTTGCCCTAGTTGGTTTGGCTCAGTGGATAGAGCGTCAGCCTGTGGACTGAAGGGTCCCAGGTTTGATTCTGGTCGAGGGCATGCTCAGCTTGCGGGCTCAATCTGCAGGAGGGGGCTTGCAGGAGGCAGCTAATGAATGATTCTCTCTCATCATTGATGTTTCTATCTCTCTCTCCCTCTCCTTTTCTCTCTGAAAACAAAAAAAATATTTAAAAAAAGATTAGAACATTTGTGTCACCCCAAAAAGTTTTCTCCTGTATCTTTGTAGTCAGTCCCCTGCCATAGCCCCAAGCAACCACTGATTTACTTTGTCATTATAGTTTTACCTTTTCTAGAATTTTATATAAATGTAATCATGAAGTATATAGTCTTTTGGGTTTTTTACTCTCTTCTTTTACTTCTTTCACTTAGCATAATGATTTTGAGATTCACCCATGTTGTTGAATGCATTACTATTTCATTCCTTTTCTTTTTTTGTTAAGTAGTATTCTGTGTCTGGATATGACACAATTAGTTTTTACATTGACCATTTGGGTTGTTTCATTTTGCACTATTATAAATACTGCTGTAGACATTTGCATATAAGTCTTTATGTAGACATATGTTTTTCTTTTTCTTGGGTAAACACAGGGGAATGGAACTATTGAGTCATATAGTACATACATGTTTAACTTTATAAGATACTACCATACTGTTTTCCAAAGAGTCTGAGCTAATATTATGTTTGAGATATAGGTCTATTAATACAAGTAGATATTTTTATCTTATTCTATTATATTAATGAACCACCATTTACCCAGTCACCACTTCTTTACCGTTATAAATAATACTGCAATGGGCATATTTATAAATTGTTTCCTTGTACACATGTACAAGGGTTTCTCTCTATAAAATGGACATCAGCAGCTGGAATTGCTGGGTTCTAGGGTATACTCATCTTTGGCTTTGATAGATATTGCCAGATAGCTTTATAAAATGGTTGGGCATTTAACTTATAAAGCTGCTATACCTTACAAATTATTGCAGACTTACATTAGTTCTTTCTGTAAGACTTTTTCTTACAAGTGGACATTTGGTTCTTTTTGTATCAGAGTATATCCCAAGTTTTTTCATACTGTTATTATAAACCTATTTTTTTCTTTTGATTACCCTTCATTTTTAAATAGGAGATTCATATGGGACATTGTGTGAATCTGACTGATGAGTCTGTAGAAGCTGTCCTTACTCGCTGTCCTCAGATACATATATTACTGTTCCATGGATGCCCCCTGATAACAGGTTAGTATGATAGACTGCTTGGGCTCAAATCCTGCTTTTATCTTTTAATAACTGTGTGACCTGGAGTAAATTATTTTACCCATTCTGTTATTCCATGTCCTCATCTGTAACATGGGTATAATGACAGTGCCTACCTCAAAATCTTGGTCACGATGATTATCTGACAACCCTTTACATGGTGCCTAATATAAGGGCTCAGTAAATGTTAGTCGTGGTGGTGTTGGTGGTGATAAGTGTTAATAAATGTTAACTATGCTGAGGATGAGAATGGTGGTAAGTGGCCATGATACTAAACAATGCTTTAGGCAATAAAAGAATTTATAATACCACATCTATCAAATAAGCTAAATGACCTGTTATCTATACTCTCATCAGGCTTCAGTGAAGTATCACTTCACTGAAGAGGAACAAAGTAGTCACAACCCATTTGGCCTGTATAAGAGCCATGATACCACATGCTCCCGAAAACACAGCACCTCAGCCTCTTTTGTCTTACCCCAGACCCATGCCACCCTTCCCTCTGGCCATCACCATCCTGTTGTCTGTGTCTGTGCAGTATACATATATGTTCTTTGGCTAATCTCTTCACCTTCTTTCATCCAGTCCCGCCCTCTCTGACAGCTGTCAGTCTGTTTCATGTATCCATGCCCCTGTTTCCATTTTGTTCATTAGATTCTACATAAGAGTGAGATCACGAGATACTTGTCTTTCTCTGATTTATTTCACTTAGTAAAATACTCTCCAGGTCCCTCCATACTGTCTCAAAGGGTAAGAGATTCTTCTTTTTTACAGCTGCATAGTACTCCATTGTGTAAATGTACCACAGCTTTTTATTCACTCATCTACTGATGGGCACCTGGGTTGTTTCCAGATCTTGGCTATTGTAAATAATCTGCTATGAACATCAAGGTACATACATTTTTTCAAATTGGTGTTTTGGGATTCTTAGGATATATTCCCAGAAATGGGATCGCTAAGTCAAAAGGCAGTTCTATTTTTAATTTTTTGAGGAAACTCCATACTGTTTTTCACAGTGGCTGCACTAGGGTTCCCTTTTCTCCACATCCTTACCAGCACTATTGTTTGTTGAGTTATAGATGGTAGCCATTCTGGCAGGTGTGATATCTCATTATGGCTTTAATTTGCTTCTCTCTGATGATTGTGACATTGAGCATTTTTTCATATGTCTATTGGCCATCTGTAAGTCCTCTTTGGAGGTGTTTATTCAGGTCCTCTGCCCATTTTTTAATTTGGTTGTTTGTCTTCATGGTGTTGAGTGTATAAGTTCTTTATATATTTTGGAAATTAACCCCTTATTAGATGTATTATTGGCATATACATTCTCCCATACAGTGGGTTCCCTTTTCATTTTGTTGATGGTTTCTTTTGCTGTGCAAAAGCTTTTTAGTTTGATGTAATCTCATTTGTTTACCTTTCCTTTGTTTTCTTTGCCCTAGGAGACATATTGGCACACAAAAATATTGCTATAAGAGATGTGTGAGCTTTTACTGCCTATGTTTTCTGCTAGGATTTTTATGGTTTCTTATTTTTTTAAAAATTAAATCTTTATTGTTCAGATTATTACATTTGTTCCTCTTTCCTGACCCGATTTATTTATTTATTATTATTTTTTTATTGATTAAGGTATTACATATGTGTCCTTATCCCCCCATTGCTCCTCCACGCCCCCTCCCCGCTCATGCCCTCACCCCCCCGTTGTCCGTGTCCATTGGTTAGACCTATATGCTTGCATGTACGTCCTTTGGTTGATCTTTCCCCCTTAACCCTGCCCTCCCCTACCTTCCCTCCAAGGCCCGACAGTCCAATCAATGCCTCTCCATCTCTGGATCAGTCCTTGTTCATCAGTTTATGATGTTCATTATATTCCACAAATGAGTGAGATCATGTGGTATTTATCCTTCTCTGACTGGCTTATTTCACTTAGCATAATGCTCTCTAGTTCCATCCATGGTGTGGCAAATGGTAAGAGTTCCTTTTTCTTCTTCCTCTTCTTAAAGAATACCTTTCAGCATTTCATATAATGCTGGTTTGGTGGTGATGAACTCCTTTAGCTTTTTCTTATCTGTGAAGCTCTTTATCTGACCTTCAATTCTGAATGATAGCTTTGCTGGATAAAGTAATCTTGGTTGTAGGTTCTTGCTATTCATCACTTTGAATATTTCTTGCCACTCTCTTCTGGCCTGCATGGTTTCTGTTGAGAAATCAGCTGACAGTCGTATGGGTACTCCCTTATAGGTAACTGACTTTTTTTCTCTTGCTGCTTTTAAGATTCTCTCTTTGTCTTTTGCTCTTGGCATTTTAATTATGATGTGTCTTGGTGTGGTCCTCTTTGGATTCCTTTTGTTTGGGGTTCTCTGCGCTTCCTGGACTTGGAAGTCTATTTCTTTCACCAGGTAGGGGAAGTTTTCTGTCATTATTTCTTCAAATAGGTTTTCAATATCTTGCCCTCTCTCTTCTTCTGGTACCCCTATAATTCTGATGTTGGTACGCTTGAAGTTGTCCCAGAGGCTCCTTACACTATCTTCGTATTTTTGGATTCTTTTTTCATTTTGCTTTTCCGGTTGGGTGTTTTTTGCTTCTTCGTATTTCAAATCTTTGACTTGATTCTTGCGATCCTCTGGTCTGCTGTTGGGAGTCTGTATAATATTCTTTATTTCAGTCCGTGTATGCTTAATTTCTAGTTGGTCCTTTATCACAACATCGAGGGTCTCACTAGATTTCTTAAGGATCTCAATACATTTATCGGCGGTTTCCATAAAATTCTTGAAAAATCTTAGAACCGTGGTTTTGAACTCTATATCCAGTCGTTTGCTGTCCTCCATTTCTGTCATTTGTGACCTGTTTCTTTGTCTTCGCATTTTGTCTGCTTCCCTGTGTTGGTAGAGTGGTTTTGTGTGCTAGGTGTCCTACAGGGCCCAGTGGCTCAGCCTCCCCAGTTACCTGAGGTGGACACTCTTGGTGCACCCCCTTGTGGGCTTTGTGCACAGTCTTGTTGTAGTTATGCCTTGATTGTTTTAGGTGTCACTGGGAGGAATTGACCTCCAGGCCAATTGGCAGTGAGAATCAGCTGTGTCTGCAGTGGGAGAACTTCTGTGCTGAAGACACCCTTCTGGGGCAAGACTTGCTTCAGTGGGGCTTTGGTGCTCACTGAGTCTGCCCCTGAATGTGTCCCTTATGGATCTGAGGAGTTGTAATCTGGATGGGCCCACTCTGACCACTGGGTACACTGGCTCTTGGATCTCTAAGGAGGTGCTAATTTAGCCTCTGCCTGAGGCTACCCAACAGGAGCTACGGAGAGATCTGCAGATTCCTCTTCTTTGTTTGGGGTTCAGAGGTGCCCAGATGAGGCCCAGCTGTGAAGCAGTGCAAGCTGCTGTGGGGCCTTGGGCCTTCTTTTGGATGTTCTGGGTCTCTTTGACCCAGCTGCACTTTGTTAGGTAATTTTAGATTGCAAAGGGCCAGGCCATTCATATGCAAAAGCCTCTGGGCACAGCTTGGGTGGGGCGGGGTCTCAGGGAATCAACAGGGTGGAGCAAACAGCTATGGCTGATCCTCAGTCCTGCCCTAAGAGGCCCCGGGTCTCAGTGTCCCGCGGTAATCACTGCAAGCACCTCTGAGAGAAAGCCACCCTTGAGTTCCGCCCGATGCCAGACAGTCCAGTTTCTCCCTGTATGAGTCTGGGTCCCCAGAGACTCGCCCGGAACTGGAGTTCAGAGCAGTCGGGAGCTTGTGACTCCCTCCCGATTGAAAAAGACCTCAACCCCGGGCATGTGCCCTTGACTGGAATTGAACCTGGGACCTTTCAGTCTGCAGGCCAGTGCTCTACCTACTGAGCCAAACTGGCTAGGGCTTCCATTGATTTTTTAGGAAGAATGAGAGAGAGAGAGAGAAAGAAAAAACATCGATGTGAGAGAGACACAGATTGTTTGCCTCCTGCATACTCCCCGACCAGGGTCATGCCTTGACCAGGAATCGAACCTGGGACCCTTCGATGGGTGGGCTGGTACTCTAACCACTGAGCACATCATCCAGGGCCCTAAGCCACTCTTGATCTTGGGGCTTTCTAACTCCAAGACTCCTTATCTGCTGCTCAGTGACATCATGACACATAAACCCTCTCCTCAGGCCTATGGGAATTCCCTTACCCTACTCTCCTACTCCCCTTTTGAGTAGTGTCCCCCCACATGCATATATGCACACACCCCTTTGAAAGGTCTCATGTTGTGAGGGACTTCCTTTGCATGCAAACCTATCAAAGTGTGGCTCAAATAAAGCTTGTTGTGTCCTACTGCCACCTTGTGGTCACATCTTTTTCCTTGATCTGTCCCCAAATTCCTTGAATTCACTAACTACAGATGACATGGTATGGTGTTCTAGAAGGCACCAGAGGTATAGCATAAAACAAAAAAATGTTTATATGTCAAAAAAAGTTTGCAAAATGCAACACACCACTATAATTAATATTAATTTATCAAAGGTTCTGGAAAATATTATAGCTAAGAAACATTTTTTTTTATCCAAGCATTTCTCAAAATTCTCTTAGCACAGAATACTATGTATAGTATTTTTCTGATTGCTGATTTCATAGAATAGAAAAATGAAATACTGAAATGTTATTTGCCCATTGTTTTTAATAATAGTGCCAAGACTAAATCTAAAATCTCAAGATGTAGTGAAATGAGCCCCTCTTCCATATCCTGCCATCTCTCCAAACATTGAATAATTTATCTTTTATGGACCTCAACTTTCCCTTATGAATAACTGTCAGTCATACAATTAGGGAATCTGATAAAAATGCAAGAGTTTATACACAATGATTTTTTTTTAATCTTTACCTGAGGATATTTTTTCATTGATTTTCAGAGAGAGTGAAAGAGAGAGGGAAAGACAAAGAATCATTGATGTGAGAGAAACACATCGATTGGTTGCCTCCAGCATGTGCCCGGGCCAGGGCCCAAGCCCAGACTGCGGAGGAGTCTGCAACCAAGGTACGTGCCCTTTACCGGAATCGAACCAGGGACCCTTTGGTCCACAGGCCAACGTTCTATCCACTGAGCCAAACTGGCTAAGGCCACAATTATTTTTATTGATAAAGTTTCTTAAAGAGAAAAAGCTGAAGTTTTTCAACCACCCAGATCATCTGTTCTCTTCCTCCTTTCCCATCACCACTGCAACATGTATATTTTTGCTACCACATTGAATAAAAATAGATAAGAGAACAGAGCCTTGGCTCTGGGTGTCTCAGTTGGTTGGAGTGTTGTCCAGTACATTCAGGCTAATATATTCACCTTATTTTAATTTTTACTTTTTTTCTCTAAAGAAGATAAATACTTTTTTCCCTTAAAAAATCTTTTTTCTTCTTTCATGACATGTTATATAACATGTCTGTGCTCTTTTTAGATTTATTCCCAAGTACTTTATTTTCTCTGATAATATTTTTATCATGTTTCCTCTTATATCTATATTCATGTGATTGCTCACATATGACTATTTAAGACAATACAATTTATATTCTATAAAAAGAATATATATATAT